GACAGTCATTAGATGGGTTAACACTGGTGTGCTTCTTGACCAGTCAATATAATTTAATAATATATTTTGCATGTACTTGATACAAAATATTCTATGACCATGTTAGTATTCTAAATCTTTCAAATGAATAGGAATGATTTAGAAAAAATACCACAGTTTGTTTTCATATGAATATTTCATTTCATTCTTTAGCACCAAAAATTCAAACATTATCCTTTATATAGTTTTGAAAATGAACTCAGTTTAATCTAGTTTTTCTGAGCCAAATCAAGGTCAAAAACATTTTGCTAGATGTTTTAAGGCAACATAGTCAATTTCTTTTTAGAAATTTGTCATACTTTTAATCAATTATGTTTCATCTATGTAGTTATTTCTACCACTAAAACACGTTCTCTTTATCTGTGTTTTTATACATTTGAACCATTTATTTCTTTAAAAGAAAATGTAATTTTGAAAATAAGGTAACTATTAATGTTAAATCTTTGAGCTATCTGTTTATTATATATCAATTATAGGAATTTTAAAATATAGCTTATAAAGTTTGTAGAAAAAATTTATTCTTGTATGTAATCAGACTTTCTAATTGCTATTTAAATGTATTTGAATATGATAAAGCTACATATATAGCAAGTGGTAAAAAAATTATGAGTGAAAGCAAGTTTTAAACAATAAAACACAATATTCATATTTTTGAGAAAGCCTTGGAGGTAACCCATTATAATGTTTCCATTTTATAGGAAGACATCTCAGTCCCATAAAAAATCAATATTAACCAAACTCAATAGTCTAATGACAGAGCAGAATTTAAAATGTCACATCACAGTGTTTTGCATTTTCTGAGATCTACTGAGGGGAGGATGAATAACAGAGGGCTGTCCTCTTTGAATGGAGAAGGCTTCTCAACATAACTACTATAGAAAAGAAAAAAGTCCTGCAAGGAGTTTCAATTAGAAGTTTATGTTTTTCAAGAAAAGCTCTGGTGTGAGCCACTTGCAGAAATGAGAAGGCTTCAAAGCGGTCACACTATGTTTCAATGTTTCACACCTTTCCCACCATAACTTTTATGAGTTAGTGAGAAATACATGTGAAAAAATAAGTTGAAACAGTCATATTTTATCTTTATGTCAGACCTTTCCCACTCAATATATTTTTATTAAGAATCTATTCTGTATATAATAATACCTTAGTTTATATGATAAAACTAATTTGTGAGAATTAATTATTAGGTAATATTTAAAACCAGGTTCAGAACAATTGATAGGCTTGAGTGCCTAATTTTTTGTTTTGTCATTGATTTATGGATGTTTACTGACATTAAAAATAATCATGAACATGCTGATTATATGTGCTGTCCTTTAATATAGTTAGCTGAATTATCTGACACTATGAATTCACAATGCCTTGTGAGTACACAGAATTTATTAGTATCTTGGATACACTACTTTGAAGACTTTAAATTTAATATAATATATTTAAATTGTGGGGAGTCAATATAGGACTCAACATAACTACTGATAGAAAAGCAAAGTCACAAACAAGTCCCAGCTTAGAGGGCACAGTTCTCTTAAGCATAATTAGGCTTGACCTTATCACGCTCCCTAGATCTTACCTGGGAAGCTAATGGGCTGAGGGAAGTGCAACAAGAAAAACAAGTGAAACTCACAAGAACAGTGTAAACAAGTGAAACTCACAGGAACAGTGTAACTTTGGTAACCACTACCTTGTTTACCTCTGACTATAAAAATAAAGGCTCAGCTTGCCTCAGCCAGGCACAGGAAGATCCACGGAGACTAAAGAGAGCTAGAGAGTTCTGAATGTTGTCTCCCTGTAAAACATTCTTCGCAGATTCCATCCACACCTTTGGGAACCCCTGGACCGCCGGGGCTGGACCCTGGTATTAAATAAATAATCCTCTTTAGCATTTTCAACCACTTAAAAAAAATGGTATCATATATATTTTTAAAATATTTTTTTTTATTGATTTCAAAGAGGAAGAGAGAGATAGAAACGTCAGAGAGAACCATTGATTGGCTGCCTCCTGCACACCCCTTACTGGGGATCGAGCCTGCAAGCCAGGCATGTGCCGTTGACCAGAATCAAAACGGACCCTTCAGTCCGCAGGCTGATGCTCTATCCACTGAGCCAAACCAGCTAGGGCAATGGTATCATATATTTTAAGTAACCTCAAATCCAATCTCCTCAATCTCTGACCGTCTTAATAATATAGATATGTACTTACTTGTCAATAAACCTCCAATAGAATGCAGACTCCAATGGACTAGAGGTGTTATCTCCCATTTTCACTATTTTATTCACCAGGGTTTTTAGACTAGGCCATGGCAAAAGGGAAAATGTGCTTAATTAATATTTGTTGAATGAATAAATGATTGAATGCAAACCCAGATTTTGTTCTTCTTGGTGTGTCTTCCAGGGATTGCTTACATTTTGAGACAAAGTGATCAGACCTTTTCTCGGTGGCTTTCAGACTTTTTCTACTATGCCCCACAGAAATAACTTTCATATCTGTGTGTGTGTTTCAAACGAAATATTCCTGAAATAATACTTAAACAGTATTACCAGTGAACCCTGCTAAATAAATCTCTAAGCTATTGCTTCCATACTATTTATTTAAAGAATAATTCTGGAGCACAGAGGATTTTTAGAGCAGTGAAAACACTGTGTATAACATAATGATGAATATGTATGGCTATATATTTGTCCAAGCCCATGAAATGTAAAACACTAAGAGTGAACCAGTATGTAACCTTTATGTATACCATATGGAACCAAGAGTGTACCATCAGGTAAATTTGGAGTGTTTGTTTTGTAGGTTCATACATTGAAACAAAAGTACCACTCCGGTGGTGATGTTGATTATGGGAGAGGCTACACATGTGTGGGTGCAGAAGGTATATGGGAAATCTACATATTCCACTCAATTTTGCTGTGAACATAAAAACTGCTCTGAAACCTAAAGTATTAACAAAAAAAAAGAATAATAACGCTGGTCTTGAAATTGATTTCACAACCCACAAACCTGCAGTTTGTAAAACACTGTTTTAGACAAAAATGACAAGAGATGAACCACATTAATCTTTGCGTTTGTGGAAGGAACACGTGTATCCTATTAAGCATCGGATAGTGTAATTGCCAGGTCCATCTTTTCCTGAACTTTCCACCCTGCCCAGCCGCTTCCAGCTCTCTATGTGGCTATCACTGACCTTTCATACCCCTGACTTTGAGAAGCCAGGAGGCCTGAAAGAAAATGAAAAGTATCCCTTCTAGGTCTCATGGTGAGCAGCGGAGAAATTATGTAAATTTGGACTTGGATTCAGCTACAAAGCAATATACAAAAATTATTTCATATAATTCTCACCACAATCATACAAACCAAGAATTTCTACTCTCTTTTTATAAGTTAAAAGAAAAAAATTGAGGACAAAGAGGTCAGATGACTCAAGGAGACAAAGTGAATGAGCAGCAGGGTCTCACTCTAGATCTACTCCTGTTGCCAATAGAGTCTCCCTATGGAGAGACAGATGCCTAATGAGGCAGTTCCCCCGGAGCTCAGAGCCTCCAGATACTCAGAGTAGGAAGGCCCAGAGGTCTGCATGTTCCGGGCCTCTTCCTATGGACCATGAAGATAAAGAATACAATGTTCTCTCAAACTTCACCTTGCCAGTCTGTACCCTCCTCAACCCCACCCTGATCGCTAGCCCCTTGCACTGTGCATCTAAAAGCACCCTTGGTCATTTATTACACTTCAACACATGGACTTGGCCCATGACTACCAGAGCCCTGTGAGCTAGGGAGAAAGGACTGCTGTCCCCCTGAGGACTTAACCTTGACTTAGCTAAGGTCATATCCACTGAAGCTCAAAGGAAAGCACAGAATTGGGCTCCTCTGCAATTGCATGTTTCCATTTTTCCCAGAGGCAAATCTTCACTAAGAACTAGTCAAGATTTATTGCAAACTAAACACTTCCAATTCCAGTCCCTTCCCCAGACGCGGCTACCACCAAGGCCTGCGCTCTGTCTAGCAGGGGAATGAGCCAGTCACCTTTGGAGAAGCACCTGGGTTCTACCTTCCCCCACTTCCTCCTGGCCACCTTGTTTGTTCTCTGCTCCCTTTCTGATCTAATATGGAGGGTTAAACGCAGGGGGGTGGCAAGAGTCCTGGCCGTTGGTCAAGCCGGGCATGGGCATGCTCAGTGGGGGAGCGGGTGCTGCCAGGCCCGGGGAGCTGGGCTGCCCCTGCCGCCTTTATGGAGTATCTGTTTGCGACCAAACGTCAACCTGTTGTTCGTCCCGTCCCCATTTATCAGCTCTCAGCACCACAAGGAAGTGCGGCACCCACACGCGCTCGGAAAGTTCAGCATGCAGGAAGTTTGGGGAGAGCTGGCGACTAGC